AATGGACGTATCTTAAGAATATAAAAAGAAAAAGACAGACAAAAAAATGAGTGTGAAGATCGCAAAATATTTTAGTAAAGGAGCAGAGAACGTGATGGAGTAACTAGGAAAGACAAGAGATGGGATGGCTGTAGTTGAAAACCACAAGAAGCGCATGAAAGCAGAGGAGGGTCAGGTGGGCCACGGCTAGCAGTGGGCGGTTGGGCGCGGGGCAGAACACGCGCGCTGCAGCGAGGGCGCAGAGCGCAGGGCCGAGGGCCCGCGCGGGCGATTAATTAGCTGCAATAACAGGCGGGCGCGCGCGTTGCGGCTCGGCGTGCCGCGCGCAATTTACGCACCGGCGGCCGCCAGCGGGAAGGGACACCGGCCGGCCGGAGGGCGCCCCCCCCCCCGCCCCCGCTGCCCTTCGCCCTTCAGCGAATGTTTTCCTCGAAATCACCCTCGCCTGCCTGGGGCTACGGATTCCCTACGTAGCCCTACGGGCGGAGGGCACCGAAATGACATAAAACTCGGGAAAATCCCCCAGAGCGGTGGAAAACGTAACGAGTTTTCTGTTCATTCTCGGCCATATTTTAATAATAGAGAATATGAAATCAATTGTAATGTTATCGAGTCTTTCGAATTATTACGAAAAACCAAATTAAACAAATCATAAACAATGTTTCGTAACATTAAAGTAAATTTGAAGAAAGATGTTTTGCTTCATCCTCGGACTTTGGAAATTATTGTTTCCAATATTGAATTGTTTCCATAGTTTTGCTACGTTTACAACTTGTTAATTTCATCGACAATAGTCAATTAAAAAACTCTAAGGTAGTTCTGTAATTTTGAATTCTCCCCGTAGTAACTATTTCACACATTCTTCAATGTCCACATGTTTGTATGTTTTACCTGACTCAAGATCTTGACTTACAGTGTGCCTATCAATATCAATGTTCTCTGACATTGCCACTTTGTCTCTCCTTAAATTGATTTTTCGCACATTGTCAAGACCATTAGTCCGGAACTGTACTTGGCTCTAGGCATCGTCAAACTACCTATTGCAGATATTTTATTCCTGGAGTTACGAGCGGAGAATTCTCTTTTTCATTGCGTCGTTCGAGATGTTTTCAAATTACTCGAAACCCAGATATTTGTAAGTTTTACTTGGCTCAAGATCTAGGGTCACCATACGCATATCAATATCAATCCTCCCTGACCTTGTCACTATGCCTCTTTAAAATGACGTCTACCCAATATTGTCAATACCAAATTTCATGCATATGGCATTGCTAAAAATCACTGACGACAGACAACATTTGGGAGAGAATCCCTTCATTGTTAACTAATAGTTTAAGATCATTCATGAAAACCAAATGCGGTAGTGGTCTTTCATAACCATGGATCTTATACCCAAAGTCAGTGTGCGACAACGGTCTGGATAGTGAAATAAAACCAATGCAAAATAACAGGGGATATCGAATCTTCTTGAAAAGTTCACCAGTTGATCTGAATTCTACTACTTGCTTCCTGCTGTGGATTAGTAACCTCGTACTCCACGGTTTCATATTAGCCTGGCAAAACTCAATAAGACTAGGATGAAATCGATTGATCCCCAGGATCTTCAAAACCCAATCGTGTGGCACCGTGATAAAGGCCTTCTGGTGGTCAATTCAAGCCATGCTCAAATTACGTTTTCAAATACTTATATCATTCAAGACGACTTTGTTTAGTAGCAAAATTTCTTTAGAGCAATAAAAATCTGTAAAACATCATTTTTGTTGAACTGGCAACATATTATTCTTCTCTTAGTATCTGTACATTTTATTAGCTATTGCTGCAGTTATAACATTGCACATAACTGGCAAATAAATAATTGGCCTGTAGTTCTCCCGGTTTAGATGGCAGATACGTGATGCTATGCTTACGTGATGCGTAAGAGCTATTTCGGGAGTTCCTGTGAATTTCCTGTTCCTGTAAACCAATAATCTCCATTTTATCAATCCCAGGATATTTTCAGTTACCCAAGTTTTTAATTTCTTGAAAGTGGTCCTCTTTCAAGGACCGTCCCTTATACGGGCGATTCACACCTGAGTTCGCCGTCTTGTTGAGCTAGAACCTATGCTAGGTGCACAATGTTCTCCCCGGCATGGATAAAAGTGACTCTCTCTTTTGACTAAAAACCTTTCGTGGAACACACTAAATGGCACCGCGGGCCGCATGTGACCCGCGGGACACCAGTTGGGCAGCTCTGGTTTAGAAGATGTGCAAAGAGTGATGTTTCACGCCGCATTTCCGCTATCAGTTTCACAATTATTTTCTTCTATAAGGTACCGAGTTGTTTGCTCTGTCGACCGTCGGTGTTCTTGACAGGCCTATCATAGTTCTTTAACTATTTCAGTCTATTACAGTTACAGTATAAAATGCACTTATCATAACACAGGCTACAAAGTACTAATCTTAAACATGGGTCTAATTATTTCCGAAGATCATACAGGTTGTCTCATTTAACCTGAAAAATCAAAATAACTCGAAAATTACGCTTCATACACAAAAATGTTCCAGACAAAAAATGAATATCTTTAAAGGGGACATCTGCCTGATATAAAATGAAACCTCTCCCTCACCTCTTGGGAAAGAGGCAACTTTGAAATGTAAAATGGGAACCCCCATTTTTTATTGCACGTTTGAATTTGATACTAAAAAATATATAACTTTTGTCTAAACTCTTTTTTATTTTTTACAATTCTGACGAAAACTTCCTTTCAAAACACGCTTTCTTACAAAAATCACGCTTTGATTGAAAACTAAAGAAACACCTGTTTAATAATTTTAAAAAGTATCTATTGGAAATGGATTATCCCCACCCCCAATCCTAGAGGGTAGAGTGGGTGGTAACTTTCAAGTCTCAAACGGAAACTCCTCATTTTTTCGATAAAGAATTAGTTTAAACGTGAAGGTTTTTCAATGATGATCGAGTTGAAATATTTTCATCAAACTCCTTTTAGCATCATCCGGGAACAACGTCGTGGACGTAGTAGTTTTTTGTTCCCTTCGGGATGATTGTTTAGCTGAGTGCCCTCGCCTCTCACCATCGGGGTGCAAGTTTTAAAAAGAAATTCAACACTTACTAATCAAGAAGAAACCTTAAACCTTACGAATGTACTACTTATTCAATATCATTATCATCTCATATTGATGGTGTTTGGTGGTCTCATATTGTAATTTTCCTACGGATTTTGAGCTTTGTTATTACCCGAATGTATGTACATGTACTCCTTTTAACGATCGTTTACGTGAATACTATTTATGCAATGAAATATCTATTTAACATTAACTAAAAATGTGACGAAATGTGCATTAATAATTGAAATGTACCATTCAAGTTCTTTTTTTGTAATTCCGTAGAAAAATTCGATACTTCAAAGTCAATTTTGCGGTTGCACATCAATTAGACGGGTATAATTTTCTTCAATCACGCAAAATCTTTATACAATTCCTCTCCACAAAAGACAACAAAAAGGGCATAGAAAATTAACTTAAAATGTCTTTAGCAATACTTTAAATAAAGTACCGATTGCATGTGGCTTGTTTATTTGATCAAACCGTAAGTTTGATTAAAAGTATGTGCTTCGAGAATGGTAAAATTAATATTACAAGGAAACAACTTTTATTATCAAGTCACGCTTACACTAAAACTTACTCAGTTGTTGGATCTTTTCGTTATTCAATGAAGCATTCCTCGTGAACCGAAGAAGCTGTAGTAAGCACGGAAGCTGCACGCCGCGTTTGTTGGAAGGGTTGCCTAACCACCTTCTGTCAGGGGCGGTGCGTAATCAAAACGCGGAAGCAGTTAACAACGACCGCATGCAATTCAGAAAACTGACGGCCGGCTCGTGATGATGTTAGTAAATATGTGATAACTGCTTTCTACAATAATAAATAACAAAAGAGAACGTGATGTTTTGCCGAATATTTTAATTTGGGCCCAATGTTAGAGAGCTAATTTGAAAACCAAACCATGATTCTGCACTGGAATATGCGGTTCTAGACCTGTGTTAATGATTCACGTGCGTTGCTATTTTCTATTTTCAGTTATTTTTCATTAACCAAATATATTTTAATTTCGCGTATACGTACGCATAAGAAGAGTAATAAGCGTAGTATAGAGGAAGTTATGTAATGCTCTAGAAAATCGATATCGAAATTTCAACGGAAATACACGTTTCGGGATCCCCTGGTAAGAAAAAGGTTTTTTTTAAAACGACTGTCCATCGGTCAAGTTCTTTTACAGAAAAGCTTATACATTTTCTTAAAAACCGCTCCAATTTTTAAAAAGAAGTATAGAATGGGGAATTACTCTTCTATAATATTCTCCCAGTAATGTTTTTGTTCTACCATTAAAAAAGCAAAAAAATTGGGAAAAATTAAAAAAAATATCCTTTGGGCGCCAATAGATGGCATCTGGCAAGAGGATTCGTGAGACAGGAGAGCTAGTCCAGTCCAAACAAATTAGAAAACTAACTAGTAAGAGAACGTCTGATCCATTATGTAACACCACTAGTTTGTTGTAAAATTGTAATGCGACATAAAAGTGCTACACAATGAATAAATCGATATCTCATAAGTTTGCGGGAAGAATATAATCTTTATTTTTCGAAAAGATAAAATATACAGATCACTCAATAGGGAGAGCTCACGGGGTTTCAACTTGAAGAATCCAAAGATCAATAATAAAAAATATAGCTTTTACTAATTTTCCATACTAACAAAAGGCAATTTATCAGTTTTTATTGTTAAAAAAATTAATTGTGTGTCAGAAACTAAAATCCATTTTATATTCAGCATCATGGACAAATTTATAAAGAACCATTAATGCGGCTGGTGACTATACGTATAGTACCCCATCTCCGAGAAAAATCCTCGGAGTGCTTGTTTAAATGCAACATGCCTTTTTTAGTTTTTCATCAAAGAAAGAAACTATAATACTTACTATTTTCCATTCCTTCGTCTTATGACCACTATACACGTTTGTCCATGGTGTTCATCCTTATCATATCGAACTTTTCTGCTTTAAGGGCAATATCTATAACAAAAAATACTGTCTAAAACCATTGCAAGAACTTCAATTATAAAAAGGTTTTTAAAAACCGCCGCCCCATGTTTGCCGGTTTCATTACGTGTTTGCTTACGTTACAATAAAAAAACGCCTTGATACGATTTGAGCGGTCGTGGGAGGTTAGTGCGAGAGGAATGTGCGTTTGCTCTGGTGAGTCACGGCCCCTGGGGAGCGGCGGCCCCGAGACGGGCAGCGCCCGGGGCGCGGGCGGCGGGCGACGAGGCAGCGCGGGGGCGCCACCGCTGATCTCAAGGCGCCCGAGGGCGACGCACGGACAGGGGCGAAGACGCCACCGGAGGCGGCGGGGCGGGGATGGCAGTACGAGCGAGGGCGGCGCGGGCGGTGCGGACGGTAGCAGAGGAAGCGCCTTAGCCAAGGCAGGGGAAGAACCGTCGGAAGGAAGAGGAAATGAAGGAGACGAAAAGTGGACGTGATAGCTGGGGAGAACCAGAAACTACGGTCCAAAATAAGGGCAATGTAGAAACTAAGGTAGTGGGGAAATGACAGAGAAGAGGTAGGAAGAAACGATGAATTGAGTTCAAGTCGGATCGGAAACGAGGCGATTAATAGGGAAATAGAATATGCTTGAAAGTGGTGAAGACATAATTTAATTAACAGTGAAATAAATTTGAGGTTTTTTATTAAATGGTAGTATATACATTGAGTGTCTCACAAATGTGCTTTAAGAAAGAGCAATACTTAGAAAATTTACAAAGAAATTAAGTTTCTGTAGTTACAACTTTGTAACAACAATGAATATCCAGTTCTTGCCTTGGAATATTCCTCACGAGGTAATTAAAGTCGTGAACTCTAATGTCATGCAGAGCATTGAAAACAGCATATGCTCATAAAGATAGTGGAGATAATTTATTATATTCTTCCAAAACGCAACTCCATTGGTTCGTAAAAAATCCATTTAATTCCAAAATATTTTAGATATCAACACCAAAATAATTTTACAATTGTTGACGACGTCAAAAAATGTACGGTTGACAAGTACATAGCATGGAAACATAACTGCACGGGAAATTCTGATAATATCACCTGCGAGAAAGCGCGGTAACTGCAGAGGAGGGTGAGACCCACGGAGAAGACAGTGCCCGGCCGGTACGAGGGGAACTGTGACATGGGGAGTCAAGACGACGGCCAGAGCAGGACGAAGACGGTCGGGGGAGGCGGAGCGGGGCGATAGCCCGCGCAGAGACGTCCGCCCTCCCGAAGAAATGGCGGCAATTAAGGGGCATTATGTCCCCGTCTGGCCAGATAGAATCCATCAGCGGCCTTTGAAATACTGCCAACGCCCACGCCGTCGCCTTCGCCGCCCTGTTGCGGTCTTCCGCCCTCCACGCCTCTTTGTTTCCGGATTCGCTTGCTGCCACCCCTCCCCCCCCTCTGTTTCCCCTCCGCCGCCCCCACCTCATCGCCTCGGCCTGCGCGGCCCGCCCCCTGCCAACGCCGCCGCGACATTCTCTATTGCAAAGCTCCTCGAGGAGAGACGCACCTTGACCGACCTCTCAAATCGGCCTCATAAAGGGGGAATGCCCCTCTCTTGCGTGAGTGATACACAAACCTTCGGAATTCCCTCACGGCGAGCTCAGAAATATTGCAGACGCTTCCTTTTTCTTCCCTGTACACAGAATGCGTCGACACAAAGGGAAGGTTATTCCAGGAAATGGATCCGAAACTGCTGGAGAAGATGCTCAAAAATAATAAAGCAATTTTACCATTGTTATGACGGTGAAAGCATTCATAAAATGCGGTTTACGCACCTTTTGAATATCGTCCGACGCGTTGTCATATGAAAAACTTAGGTTTTGTGAATCATGCTTACAAATCCATAACCTGTGTCAACAACGAGTACTTCGAGCAAAAACGTTTTCGGGTATTTTTTCTGTTCTATAAAAGAAATAAAAATTATATTACAGAAATAATTAATGATATTTTATTTTTATGTATTATAAAACGAGAATTAATTATTTGAGTGTAATTTTAACTTAAGGTATGCCAATTTATTCTATAATGTGTACACATAATTAATAAATTTGAATTTTATCAATATGTTTTCATCGGGCACAAGCATTATTTTTGTCGTACTACTATTTATGTGAACATTTTGAAACACCGTTATTAAAAAGACATTCAATTTATTTTACCCTCTTTCATTTTTCCCGTGTATTTCCATAATACATAAAAATTAAGCAATGTAATCCAATCTATCGACATGATATAAGATAAAATCATTGAGGTCTCTTCGATGGACTGAAACAAACATCACCTGTTTTTCTACACAATCAACGTTAATTTACATTGTTATTTCTCTAATATCAACAACATAAATCATTATGCGAAGCATCCTGAGTACTAAGACAATTACAAATAATATCTAATACTTAAATATTTATGTAGTTATTCATTACAAAACACTCATTGTTATCGGGCTGGTAGTTAGTCTCCAATGAAATTACATGTCTTGACGTTTCATGACTACGAAAAAACATTAAGAATATTTGATGAAGATTTTGAAAAAAAAATATAAAACGTTTGTGGTAATGTTTATCTCAAAATACAATTTTCAATATTGAATGTCACATACGCACCGGGGTTTGTTTGTCAGAAGGGGGTCTTTAGGGAAAATGCCCAGCCGACTTGTTATTTTTATAAATACTTGTTAATCTATGCTGAATATAAAACGTATTATTATTATTTATTGACTTATAGTTTTTTATTTACAATGAAAACAAATGACCTAATACATGATTTTTGTTAGCAAAGAAAACTTTTAAAAGCTCTATTTTTTCAATCATTGGCTTCAGGAGGAGCGGCTGAAGTCCCAAGATCCCCCCCCCTTTTGAGTGCACCACTGTCACAAACCATTTATTTATCTTGCCGGTACTCAACTACAATTTCATCGCAATCTCGGACGTCTTTCTTCCTCATTTCTCTAGCTCGGCGCTCGCGGAAAATGTAGTGATGTGGAACACTTCTACGGTCATCAACCCAAAACCACAGAAATATTAACACAAACATTCCGAGAGAGATAAAGGGGGTAAAGCAACCAAACATAGCTACCGTAATTAAACCATAACTTGAGATTTTCCAATTAAAGTTTTGAAGTGAACTTTTCCGGTTCGTTTCTGATTAATGAATTAACACCGGTGCAAGGTGAAAGGAACCGACTATCGAAAAACACCTCCCTACCTCCGACTCCACTCCTACTCTCCTCAATCATTAATCTCTCCTCAAATCAGGGCATTAGCTAATGAAGCGATTAAGATTCTAATTTCAGATTACAACTCTCAAAGTGCGTGTTTTGTATTAACACTCGAAGCACTTTTCGGATGGAAGAAAAGACTCCATTACTGTTATTAATTTTTCAGACAATAGGCGTCAGGGCAGCTCGGCTTCGGAGACGCCCGGATCACCCATGCTTTATGCAAATGCTTCCGGCAAGATGAGTCCTGCATTATGGAGTCGTCTTGAATATTTAAGGCGGGATTTTTAACGGAGAGAGAGGAGCGGCGAGCGCTCCTGCCGAGATAACTAGGAGAACGAGAGCGGGCACAGCAGTGCTTAACACTCGGCGGGTCCATAAGATCGCGGGGTTGGGGGGAGGGGAAGGCCTTGGAACACGCGACTAACGACGCGCGAAGGAGCGGCCGAGACGCGGCCGGCCCACAAGTTTGGTGCGCACCGACGCCAAGTTAAGGAAACGTGGCGTTTGCACAATTTATTCACGTTTACCATTAGCTTTCGTTAAACCGAGCCTAAAAGGTTTTTAACAGCATAGTTTAAAGTTCCTTTATCGGGCAATCGCCTTAAGTGCACCGTAAGAAAGCGGACAAGTCGGCGAGCAGGCGGCCCGCCTCGGTGTAGGAGCCAACCCCTCCCAGCGCCGCCGCGCACGCGAGGCCTGTTATGTGTGTGGCCGTCGGCGGTTTTTGCGATGCGTAACTTTTAAACAGGTGTTTATTACTGCGGCTGAGCTCGATCCCGGAGCCGCTGGGAGCTCGAGTGGGCGCGTGCTCTTTGCCGCAGGCTGGGTGGGCGGAGGAGAAGGGAAGAGAGTCTGTAGGTGGGGAAGAGGCGACGCGGGGAACTACGAGAGGGAGTACGATGGCAAAAGGAGAGTAGGGTTGTAATGTGTCGGGGTGGAAAATGTACCTGACGAGGGTGGAACACGAGCACAGAGAGTTCGATGCGGGAGGATGAAAGTAACAGAGGAAAAACAACGACAGAACAGTGATTATAAAAATGTGAAAAATATCACTCAACAAACATAGTTGATTTATCAATATTCGAATGCATTTATCTAATACATACAGGCATGAATAGTACTGCAAAGAACGATCAAAATTAGTAAACGATCAAAGCATTATCAGCTGAAGAATGTGCAGTGTTGCTACATATTCAGGTAGTATTTTAGTCGCTTTATTTCCATATTTGTCAAGTATCTCTATCTTAAGTGTTAGATTGTAGATCATTTTAAAACAATCAAGTGGGAAAATCAACGTTCTTTTTTTTATTTTGGTAATCGAAGAAAAATATAAAGCTGAAAGGAATGACAAACACAAAGAGCATGAAGTCAGAAATATATGAGAGTACCTCGAGGGGAGTCCCCAGTGTTTGTGCAGCACTAGAAAAGAAGACCTTAAGTAACAAGCTCCCAAAGGCCCAGCTCTTACGATGTAGGGGAACGACAAAGCAGTTGCCTCTCTCTGACTTTTCCACTTCAACCATCACATTTAGGGTTGCTCCGGTTGTTCGTCCTTCCTATTTTTCAGAAGAAAACAGACATCTTACTTCTCAAAACGAAGTGAGATTGAACAAAGAGAACAAGTATTTATATTTTAGAATCAAAAACTCTTTTCCCAGAACATATAAGCCCTTGTTATTTTTGAGCAATATAAAAAGAACACGAAGACTTGTAATTCTAATATGATATATTTTCACATTTTATATACTATTTT